TATTATCTTTTAATCCTATTTTTCCACAAACTTTTTGAAGTACCCTCATTTTACTAATGCAGCGACTTAAAATGATCTGAAAGCATTAAAAAGGAATCTGACCAAATATCGATGAATGAATGAACGAACAAACGACAAAGTGGAGAGTTGACAATCCCAGTGCACTGCAGTAGTGCAGTGGGTGACAACTTTACTGTGGGTCAGAGTGATAAAGACTGGATAAACCAAGAAACTGGAAAAAGAAAAGGAAAGGAGAGTGAAAGGAGGGAAAGAAGAAAGGAAAAGAAAAGAAACAAGTGAAAATTCAGCTTGGACTAAAAGCAAATTGTAATATCGTTTTGTAGATAATTGCACCTAAATTGATTGTCTAAAATGTTCCCAAAGTTCTTTTTTTTTTTTTTTTTAAGTTCTCTGTTACGGAATACTTCTAAATACTCTCATAATTAAATAATAGGATTGGCCAATCGAGATACTGGAGCCCGCTGACAACTTTCTTTTTTTTCTTTTCAAGTAAAGAGAAGCCCTTGAAACATTCATTTTAATGGTGTTGATATTTGGCTAAGCAGGATGCAATTATACTGGTAAGTCTTAACTATCAAAATAGATTTCATAAGCTCTGGGACTAAGCACTGTCACCTAACCATCTTAGTGTAGTATATTTATTGTTATTATTATCATTGTTACTGTGTAGCATATTTCCTATTTTAGTATGGTATATTTATTATTACTATTACCATATAAACAATAAGTATAAATAATTATTACTATTATTATATAAACATTATGTTTATATAATTTATTATTACATAAACAAAAAGGAAGGAGAAATAAATGCTCATTATAGAAGATCTTCAATATATTTTTATATATCCTTATTTCAGAAGTGATTTAAAGCAAGTAAATTTCACAATCTTTTGGGAGTAAGATTTTCTACTTGGATTACGTGTTCTATTCATGAAACTCCTTCAAATATGTTTCTTTTGTATTCTTTCACCAAACAGATTTGTGTAGTATTGAATAACCAGATTAGCTATTTAAATGAATGTCAAAGTCATAGTCTATTTTGAAATTCAGAATCTTAACTAACACTTTAAGATTTAAATTTCATCACTTCTTTATATTTGCTATTCAGAAATGTAACGGCATTGTTTGTTTCAGGTATATTTACTGAAATCCTACAAATTCTTGATGTGGGGTATTTTTCCAGGGGAAAGGCATATTATATTATTATTGAAACTGCCACTAATTTTGCATGCAAAATACTAATTGAATGTATAATAAAATTATTCAGGATAAAGATGTACTTAGTAACAATTATACGCATAATAAAATTTTTAATTATAAAATTCTCCAAAAGTTCAAAATCTTTGTAAAACTGCCATCCCTTATAAATATAGAGAAATAATGTAAGCCTTCTCTTAACATATTCATAAAATTTTAAGTGTGGTTTAGTCATATTTGTTGAAATATTTTCTCTATTACTGTTCTCAGCATCGACAGAATATAAAATGTTTTAGATAATGGGAATAAAGCTTGGCTAATGAACGTGACTTCTAACACCAAAGACTGACAGTGACCAGAAATGATGTTCTTGAAGTTTCAAAAATAGAGTAGATTGCATCTTCTTCCATCCACCAGAGTCTTGACTTCTAATATACTGTGAAGGATTTCCTGATGGCTGCCCAAAGAGACACGACAGCACTTCTCAATGTTGTTCAGCTGGAACTGGTTGCGCTAGTGGTAATCAAAGGACAAATAAATAGAGAAAAATGAGTGTTTGATGGAAAAAATCAAAATTCCACAATTAACAAGATAATTTCACTAGCTGAGGAAACAGCAAATCATAATTAAGTCGCTTTTTAAAAAAACAAAAAGGTAAATAAACCATATCCTTGTGAATTCTAAAGTATTGATATTTTGTTTATCAGTAAAATGCACACATAGAATATGGAATATAGCAGATAGGTGAAAATCCTTGAAGAAATATTGGCCTTTTCCTACTCCAAACTGTAAACTTTTCTGGAACCTGTGTGCTTAGTTGCAATTCATTGTGTTAGTTGTTAATTTAGTTTTTACTTTTTCCAACTTGCTTATAATAACTTAAAACAATCCTAACACACTTTACCTTCTCTACAAATAAAATGCATAATCTCAGTAAGTTTTTAAATTAGGTTTTCTGGTTCTCAATCTCTTTCTTGAATCTACTTCTGAAATTTTTCTATTTTTGTGCTGTATTTGTTTTCTCATCTATTTAGTCCTTGGAATTGAAAAAAAAATGTTATTGTCCCCCAAAAGGTCTTCTTTATGATTTTTTAAAAATACTGAAAATTGAAAATTATAGTTGATAATTTGAATTTGTTTCCCCATTAACAGAAATTGGTTTGTACACACACACATCCAGGCATATTTTCCTTTCAAATTGAACTTAAAATTAATTATTAAAAGATTTCACTTGTTAGCAAAATCACCCACAATTGATGAATTATGTCTCCCCCAAATTCATGTTGATGCCCTAACTGGCAACGTGACTGTATTTGGAGATTAAGGCCTTTAGGAAAGTAATTAAGATTAAATCAGGTTACAAGCCCTAATTCTATTGGGCTGTCTCTTGAGATCTTTCGCTGCCCAGTAGAGCAGAGAGAAATGTCCGGGTGAAGACACAGAAAGAAGACAGCTATCTGAACCCCAAGGAGAGAGAACTTAAAAATCTAAGCTCAAGGTGCCATCAGTGTTGTTATCTGATGAGTTCTCTCATTGATAGCACCTTGAGCTTAGATTTTTACATTCTAAAACAGTGAGAGAATAAATTTCTGTCATTTAGTCTGTGCTGGCTGTGGTATTTTCCTTTTTATTTTTGGCAGCTGCCCTATAAGGGGATCCAAAACCTTGACCTTGGTGTTATACCTTGGTGATATAACATCATGCTCTAAAAAACTGAGCAAACAGGGCCGGCCCGGTGGCGCACTGCTACAGTGTGCCACTTGGGAGTGCGGCGGCGCTCCCGCCGAGGGTTCGGATCCCACATACAGACCGGTTCCCGCTCACTGGCTGAGCGAGGTGCGGCCGCAACACTGAGGGTTGCGATACCATTGCCGGTCCCGGTCCGGTACGGGCACGACACTGAGGGTTGCGATCCATTGCCGGACACGAAAAAAGACAAAAAGGAAAAAAAAAACTGAGCAAACTGGCCAACCCTGACTGTGGTATTTTCTTATGGCAGCCCCAGCAGACTATACACCAATGCTTCAAAATTTCCTTCAGTGACTTAATAACATATTTTCTATCACATACTGGAGTTTTGCTATCTGAAAACTAAAAAAAAAAAGGTAAAGTCAGACTTAAGCCAGGTGTTCTTGAAAATTTGTAGGGAAAAAAATGGATGCTGTAGTATTTATAGACTTTCAGAAGCTCAGAATCAATTCCCCTTAGTAAATTAAGAGGGAAAAGAGATGTAGATGGAATGTAGTTCACTCAAATTCAGAACTAAAACTGAGCACTTTATTTGTATAAGTATCATATTTATAATGTGTTCCAAAATATAAGATATAATTTCAATTTTTACAATTGGAAAATGCCCACAACATACAAAAGATAAGTTTGGGAGCAAACTTAATCTTAAAAACATGCAGGAATGGATAAAAAACTATGCAATCTAACCTAAGTGAATCATTATGCAGATGCANAAGTAATTAAGATTAAATCAGGTTACAAGCCCTAATTCTATTGGGCTGTCTCTTGAGATCTCTCACTGCCCAGTAGAGCAGAGAGAAATGTCCAGGTGAAGACACAGCAAGAAGACAGCTATCTGAACCCCAAGGAGAGAGAACTTAAAAATCTAAGCTCAAGGTGCCATCAGTGTTGTTAGCTGATGAGTTCTCTCATTGATAGCACCTTGAGCTTAGATTTTTACATTCTAAAACAGTGAGAGAATAAATTTCTGTCATTTAATCTGTGCTGGCTGTGGTATTTTCCTTTTTATTTTTGGCAGCTGGCCTATAAGGGGATCCAAAACCTTGACCTTGGTGTTATACCTTGGTGTTATAACATCATGCTCTAAAAAACTGAGCAAACTGGCCAACCCTGACTGTGGTATTTTCTTATGGCAGCCCCAGCAGACTATACACCAATGCTTCAAAATTTCCTTCAGCGACTTAATAACATATTTTCTATCACATACTGGAGTTTTGCTATCTGAAAACTAAAAAAAAANTAGAGATGAAGGATTTACAGGCCTAATATAATACTTAATATAGGAATTAATGTTTGGTCCTCGAAAGAGAAAGCACACGAGAGTTATCTTTGTGCTCTTTACAAATGTTTTTGCAGAATCCAGAACAGTGCCTACTACCCAGTGGGACCTCACTAAATATTTATCAAATTAATTAATTTGTATATTTAATTGCTTATGTGGTCATATTGATATGAAATGAAAATCAATT